CGGAGGGTGCCCAGGTCCCGGCCCGCCCAACCTCAGAAGGCCCCCAGTTCCCAAGAGCCCGCGGGGCCGCAGGGGGCGCCGGTATATGAAGTCCCCTGCCCCACCCCCGGCTCCCTGTCGGAGGCGCACTCCGACGAGGAAAATGTGATTAAAAATTAATTGCAGCGCGACTCTCTCTGAACAGAGAAGAGCTGAAGCTGGGACCGACAATGTCCTTCGAAGATGCCCCCCGAGCCTGATGGGAGTCGTGCCCATTTTCTCCCATCGACTCATGGGAGTTGTAGTCCAGACTTGCTGGAGACTCCCCACTCCCCCCCGCCCCCTCGCCACCACCACCCACTTTCCGCGCCCCAACCTTCCAATCACTACCATAGTGGGAGGCTCCGCGGTATTCAGCCCTCATCCTCCTGACTCCTCTCCTGATCGTCCACAGGAGACCGACAAACTGGAGGACGAGAAATCTGGGCTGCAGCGAGAGATTGAGGAGCTGCAGAAACAGAAGGAGCGCCTGGAGCTGGTGCTGGAAGCCCACCGCCCCATCTGCAAAATCCCGGAAGGGGCCAAGGAGAGCGAAACCAGCGGCACAGGCGGTACCAGTGGCACCAGCAGCCCACCAGCCCCCTCCCGCTCTGTGCCTTGTATCTCCCTTTCCCCAGGGCCTGTGCTTGAACCCGAAGCATTGCACACTCCCACGCTCATGACCACACCCTCCCTGACTCCTTTCACCCCCAGTCTGGTCTTCACCTACCCCAGCACACCGGAGCCCTGTGCCTCAGCCCACCGCAGGAGTAGCAGCAGCAGTGGGGACCCCTCTTCTGACCCCCTTGGCTCCCCAACCCTCCTGGCCTTATGAGGCACTCCATCCCCCACTCCCTGCGGGTGCTACCCTCACCAATATTTCCCTGCCCATTGGTCCAGCTGGCCTGGACCATATCTCATGTCCAACCCCAGCAGATTCTTCTCCATCCCTCCAGATGAGACTGGGCATATTTTGCTTCCTGGTAGTGCCTGCTTGGGGCTACCAAAGCTGCCCACTCTTTCTCTAGAGCTGGCCTCTCTAGCACAATTTGCACTAAGTCAGAGACAAAGTGGTTCCTGTTTGTTGGAGAAAATTCCGGGCAGCTCCCAAGGGACTTTGTAGGTTCTCAGAGGTCCTCTGGAGCCCTAAACCCCTGCAGATCACCCCTATAGTCATCATCGCCCTCTTCCCGTGATTCACCCAATCCTACCCCTGACAGGAGGTGATGCTCTACCCGCCGAGAACACTAACTCACCCAGCCCCACTGCCAGCAGCACCAGGTTATTGAACCAGGACACTCTGCCAGCCCCTCCTAAATGGAACAGCTCAGGAGGTGCCAGAGGTTTCTATGATGAGCTGACCTGCAGCCCCCAGCTCTGAGAAGACTTTAGCTCCAAGCCTCCACAGCGTGGGCAGCTGCTATTTATTTTCCTAAAGAGAGTATTTTTATACAAACCTGCCAAAATGGAATAAAAGGCTTGCAGCTCTAGCCTGCTCTCATTGGACCCAGAGGCTAAAGGGAGAAGATTTGGAGCCAGAAGCCCTAGGCTCCCATTTCAGCTCCACCAATTCACTACATGACCTTGGACAAATTCTTTGATATTTCTGGACCTTGATTTTCTTATCTGACAAGTGAGGCTACGTCTGTTCTGCCTAAGCTCCAGGACTGAGAGGAGGCACAGAAGTGCTATGAGGTGCCAAGCCAAGAGGATTACCATCCTCCTCCTGGTGGGGGCCCACAGTGCTCCCACAGGAGGGCACTGTTATGCCCCTTCCAGCCTCCCGGGAGGCGGCTGAGTGGGTTTCAGGCCCCCAACACCTGCTTCCTGCCCCATTGTCTTGGACAGGAAGGAGCCGGGAAGGGAGCTGGAGCCACTTCAGGGGCTGGATTACGGCCTGTCCTGGGGTCTGATGCGGGGAGCCAGTGGCTTACCACGGTCCCACATCCCGCCCCAGGATGCAAGTAATGGGGGAGTCAGACACCTTAGTTCTGCAGTCCCTCCAAATGGGAATGGTACCCAGTCTCAACGTCCCCGCCCTCGTCCCAACGCCGGCGAGTCCCAAACAGACGCTGCCCCAGCCATGGGCTCTGCTTCCGCCTCAGTTTATTAGCCTCCACCCAGCCCCCAGCAAGTCCCTCCGCTCCAGCCTCCAGTCCCCCTCCTGCCCCGCCAGCGAGCGCCTGGGGCCCTCCTCAGTGTTAGGGTTTCTAAGTCCATGCCAGCGGCCCCTCGAGCGCAGCGAGGGCGGCGTCCGGGTGCCGAGGTCCACCGCAATCTCCGCGCTGGAGGAGCAATCCGGGCGGGCGTCGGCGCGAAGCTGTGCCCTCAATCATCTGGGGAGCAGGCCAGGGGCAACTGATCGGGGCTGCCCACGCTGCCGGTACTGGAGCTTCCATCGCCCAGGTCACGGGGACCGCAGGGGGGCAAGGCCAGCTCGGGTGTCGGCCCAGCGCCAGAGCCCCCCGAGCCGCCGGTACCGCCGCGCGGGCCCCACTCCTCGCCCAGCGCCAGGCAGAGCTCCTTAAGGGCCAGGTTCTCCCGCAGCAGCTCCTCCTGGCGGCCTTCCAGCTCGGCCAGCTTCTGCCAACAACCGCCTAGATCCTCGCGCACGGCTCGGGATGCTTGGGTCCCGAAGAGCTGCCACTGGCGAGCGGCTCGCCGCCCGCGCTGGCGCTCCGAGTCCAGGAAGCAGCAGAGGTCGCGCAGCTCGCGGTTCTCGGCCTGTAGGCGCCGGTTGAGCTGCTTGAGCTCGCGGATCTCGCCCAGGTGACCCTGTAGCTGCCGATTCACCTCCTGCATGAGGCGGCCACGCTGCACCAGAGCCGCCAGACGCGCCGCCTCCTCCCGCCGCAGGCGCCGCACCAGCTCCTCCTTGCCCAGAGCCGCCATCTCTTCATCCGTCAGCTCCTCCAGGCCGCCCGTCTCGGCCTCCATGGCTGCTCAAGCCTCTGGAGCATCGCCTGCCCGCCGCCGCGGCCCAGGAGCCCCACGACGAGCTCCTCGCCGCTGGGGCTCAGGCACCCGCTCCGCGGACAGGCTGTGGTAGAGATATCTTAGGCTGCAGCAGCCGCGCGGGGGTGGGCACGCGGCGGGGCGCGCGCCGGGTCGGGACTGCATGGCGTCAAGGAAGAACAGCCAATCCGAGCCAGCTCCCTCGGAAGGGGGCGGTGCCTAGGAGCCGGGAGCAAGGCCCTTCCCCGCCCACTCTGGACCGCGGAGTCCCCGACTCTCGCGGACACTCGGTATCCCCGTCACCGACCTCCGCGGCAGTCAACAGCAAACTAGAAGCTTCGTGCCTTCCAATTCGAAACCTCCTCAAGCTCGAGCTCCCTCTGAGAACCAAGATTCGGGGGTCGGCCCCCGACTTTCCTGCCCACCCCCGGGCGAAATCCAGACGGATCGCCTTTCCTTCCTTCCTAGCTTTGCTCGAACTCAAGAGTCTCGGCTCACTGAGCATCGCTCCCAGTCCACGGAAACATAAGTCCAAACGTCCTGGCTCACCATCAGCCTATTCTCCCTCTCACGGACCGTGTCCTGCCCAGTGGGAGGGGCATACAAGGGATTCTTTTGTTCAATAAACTATTATTGTATGTAAGGCTTATAGAGAAACAAACTTGATCAATATCCTTATACTGTCCTTAAAGAGATCGTAATCTGGCAGAGGAGACGAGCTGCGTTAAACAAAAAGCAAATGGAAGAAGAGCACATTTTGAGGGACCGCCCCCTACCTGCAAAAGGTTTCCCAAAAGAGGTGATATCCGAGGGGCCCTGAAAGATGCATAGGACTTTGGCAAGTAAAGAGAGAGCTATTTCAAGGAGAGGGAATAGCATGATGAAAATCGCTGGGGTCTGAAAGAGGCTTGCTGCTTTGGAAACCGTGAGAGTAGCTTGTTTTTTGGGTTTTTTGTTTGTTTTGGAAAGGCAGGTGCTTAGAGAAAGTGGTAAGAGAGGAAGGGAGGTAACAAAGGTAATCAGAAGCCAGATTTTTAAGAGTTTTCAATACCAGGCTGGAGCATTTACACAGGCCAGTAAGAATTTAAGCAGGAGAGTAACATTTTTAAATATGTATTTTGTAAAAAAGGTTGTTTGGACGGCTTTGTGTGGGATGGACCACAGGGAGGGGATGTAGGCAGAGAGATTACTAAGAACACTGTGTCAATGGGCAAGGAGAGCGCAGGAGTGGGCTGGGACAGTGCCAGTGGGGGTGGAGAGGACAGAACAGATACTAGAAATATTCAGGAGGCAAATCGGCAGAACTGAATGTAGGGAGAGAGGAGTCTGGGAGAAAGCCCAGGTTTCTGGTATGAGAACCGCGTGGATGGTGGGGCTGTCACCAAGATAGGAACGCAGGAAAGAAACAGATTCGGGAGACCGACAGGTCTGTCTGGCTTTTGAAGGTCCTGTGGGGGACAGAGTGGAGTCACACATAGGTGGCCGTCTGGATGTGGACTTGCAGACAGAGCTCTAAGCTGCAGAATAAGAGAGGTCATTAGTGTGTGTGTGGGGGGGTTAAAACCATGGGAACAGGTGCCCCATGTTCAGGAGAGGGGCTCGTCTGCAGGATGGACTGAGGGGCTCCCACCCAGCAAGGGCCCTTGAGGTTGAGCCAGACACCTTTTTTTCAGAGAAAAGACTTAGGATAGAGCCCAGTGGAGCCCCTAAATTTAGGATACAGGTCAAAGTAGGGAGGCCCCGAAAAGGGCAGAGAAAAACCAGAAGGATGTGAGGGTAGAGGTTGCCGGGATAGGTCAAACTGGCCGGAGACCTTGACTTTGGACGCCCTCCCGCTAACCTGGCCGGGGTGAGGGTGGGGTGGGGTGGGGACTGAGAGCCTGAGATTCCCCCTCCCGCTGGGAGGAGGGAGGGGCTACTCCACTGCCTCCGCCTCCGCCTCTTTCCTCGCCGCTCCTGCCCCGACTCGCTGTGTCCCGGAAGTGGTCCTTTTCTGGCTCCGGGTGCCGGGAGCCGAACGCCTGTGCTCACGGAAGTGGCCGGGCGGCGGCGCGCCGGGCCCGGGCAGTGCTTGCTCCTGCTGGGGCGCTGCGGTAGCGCCCGGGTCCCGGCGTCGCCATGACCAGCGAGCTGGACATCTTCGTGGGGAACACGACCCTCATCGACGAGGACGTGTATCGCCTCTGGCTGGACGGTTATTCGGGTCTGTGGGGGACCGTCTGTGGGTGCCGGTTTGGCGGAGCTATTGTTTTGGATGGGAGAGCGGGCAGAGCCAGGAGTAGGCATCCTATAGGGCAGTGGGCAGAGGCCTGGGAGTACCGAATACATAGGGGTCGGGGCTGGAATCCCTGAAGGGCCTCTGGGGTCGGCGGGGCGGGGCCTGATGCTAGCGCTCTCTTCCTAGTGAGCGACGCGGTGGCCCTGAGGGTGCGCTCGGGAATCCTGGAGCAGACCGGCGCCACAGCAGCGGTGCTGCAGAGCGACACCATGGACCACTACCGTACTTTCCAAATGCTTGAGCGCCTGCTACACGCCCCGCCCAAGCTGCTGCACCAGCTCATCTTTCAGATCCCGCCCTCTCGACAGGCGCTGCTCATCGAGAGGTGCTCACCTGGCGGGATGGTGGGGACGCCAACCAGTCTGGCCATATGCCCATTTTGCAGGCTGAAAATGAGGCCCAGGGAGGGACGGGGCTTATCTAGGCCGGGAGAAAGTTGAGAGCAGAAGGGGCCAAACCCAGGTCCTGCCAGTTCTCCTTTCGCCTCCTTTATGGAAAGTCAGCAGTGTCCCCTGACTCCTCACAGGTACTATGCCTTTGACGAGGCCTTTGTGCGGGAGGTGCTGGGCAAGAAGCTGTCCAAGGGCACTAAGAAAGACCTGGATGACATCAGCACCAAAACAGGCATCACCCTCAAGAGCTGCCGGAGACAGGTGGACACCACACTCATCTGCAGCCCGCCCCTTCACACCGTCCCTCGGGTCGCTGCCCCCCTCCAGGCTCCTCCAGCACCTCGGTGGCAGTGGCTTCGTACCCACTCTGCTCTCTTTTTGGCCCTTGCAAGCCATCCCCTACTCTTCAGCCAGAGTGACCTCTCAGAAGCCCAGATCTGACCTTAGCTTTCCTGGGGCTTAGCCAGGAGGGTCAGTTTCAGCACAAATTAGTGAAGAACTGGAGAGCATGATTCTAAAATGGGGGTGAATTTATTGATAAGAGTGAGTAAACATGTATCCAAGGCAAGATGGCAGGAGCTGGTGAACACTTGTTGAATTGATAACAGGTATTAATAATTAATAGTTTGTTGAAGGAATAACAGATGCTCCATCAGTGTCTGTTGACTGGATAGGTGGGTAGGTGATAGAGGGACGTTCACTAAACAGCTTATTGGGTGAGCAACCTCTGACCAGTCCTCTCTCCTCCTCTAACTGCCCTGCAGTTTGACAACTTTAAGCGAGTCTTCAAGGTGGTGGAGGAAATGCGGGGCTCCCTGGTCGATAACATCCAGCAACACTTCCTCCTGTCCGACCGGCTGGCCAGGTGAGGGGCCAGGTGAGGGGCTAGATGAGGAGCCAGCTGCCTCCCCCTCCTGCACACTCCTTCCTTGCGCCCTGAGGCTGGTCCATGTTCCCCACACCAACCCGCTTGACCTCCTGGCTGGGCTGGGGGGATGGTTATCCCACTCCTGGTCTGTACTTTGGATCAGACTGGCCTGGGTTTGAATCCCAGCCCGGCCATTCACCAACTGGGCTGTTGTGAGGTGCCACATGGAAAGCCCATGATGGCACAGCCCCTGGGGCTTAGTACTCAGTGAATGGTAGCTGTTACCCTGTGGTCTTCCATTGTGTCCCTTAGGAGACCTGGGCTGAAACCTTCTCTTTCCCCAGATGAGGAGGCCCAGAGAAAAGTGACTTGAGACACATCACACAGTGAGTTAGGGTAGAGAGAGGCCAGAACTCGGATGCCCAGCCAGTGTTGCAGGGGGGAGCTGCTTGCTAAGAAGGAATTTCAAGCCCTGATGGGCCCACTCTCCCCTCCCTGCAGGGACTATGCAGCCATCGTCTTCTTTGCCAACAATCGTTTTGAGACAGGGAAGAAAAAACTGCAGTATCTGAGCTTTGGGGACTTTGCCTTCTGTGCTGAGCTCATGATCCAGAACTGGACCCTCGGAGCCGTCGGTGAGGCCCCCACCGACCCAGGTGCCTGGACACCTCCTCACCTTCTCAGGGCCTGGCTTCCCACCAGCGGTTTCTCCTGCAGGCCCCCGTTCCCAGCATCCTTTCTTCTTTAGGGCCCCTCCCCAGCCACTTCTGCTCCCAGTCCGGTGTTCCCACCCACACGTCTGCAGACAGAGGGCCCACGGCTTCCCTATGGCTTGGGGCCAGTCACTCCACGTCCCTCACACTCCACTTGCTCTTTTATCTCATGGGGCGCAATGAGGTGGTGGGGGAGGAAGGCTCGGGATGTCACAGGAGGGGTTTTTATCTCCCACCCCAACTCCCTTCATGGACCTCACTCAGACCCCCAGGCGGATGACATGGACATGGACTTAGACAAGGAGTTTCTCCAGGACTTGAAGGAGCTCAAGGTGCTTGTGGCTGACAAGGACCTTCTGGACCTGCACAAGAGGTGACCCTTGGGGTCTATGGGGCGGGGCCTGAAGTGGAAGCCCAGGCGACTCTGGGCTTGACCCTGTCTCCCTGCAGCCTGGTGTGCACTGCCCTCCGGGGAAAGCTCGGGGTCTTCTCTGAGATGGAAGCCAACTTCAAGGTCTGTGGCCCAATCCAGCCTCTGTCCCATTGGCATCGTCAGCCTCCAGAGCACTGTCCCCTCCGGGCAGCTCTGCTCATGCCTGAGATTGACCGGCAGGTGGCGCTGCTGCTCCCTCTGCCTGCCTGTGAAGGGGGAGCCAGCTCTTAAACAATGGGGAGTTATTTGATTGAGGGAGGTGGATAGATTTGGGCTCAGCCCCCAGCCTCTTGGGCAGAAGGCAGAACTCCCAGGCTCCCTGCCCCACAGAACCTGTCCCGGGGGCTGGTGAATGTGGCCGCCAAGCTGACCCACAATAAGGATGTCAGAGACCTGTTTGTGGACCTTGTGGAGAAGGTGAGCTGTCCTGCCCGCTGCCCTCTGATCCCCATCCTGGCCTGTCCCTGGGCTGTACCAGTGCTAGATGTTACCTCGGACCCACAGTTCGTGGAACCCTGCCGCTCCGACCACTGGCCGTTGAATGATGTGCGACTCTTCCTGAATCAGTATTCGGCATCGGTCCACTCCCTGGATGGCTTCCGGTGAGACACCCCAGGCTTCCTCACTCTGCCGGCCTCCTTCTGGGGCCTAGCCCTCCTGCAGACTCAGAGTTCCCTGTTCTGTCGCCCTGGAGGTGGAAGTCTGTGTTGACTAGAGTCTCAGCTCCACTTCTTGGAAGCTGTGACCCTGACTTTGGACAGGTTCCTTAACCTCTCCTTTCCTCAGTCCCCTCGTACATAAGCTGGGGGTGATAATAATGAGGATCATAGGAATATTGTGAGGATCAAACAAGTGAAGGTGTAGAGAGCACTTAGAGCAGTGTCATGACACGAGGGGGATACAGTAAACGTCAGCCGATCCCGTTACTGTTATCATTGCAGGCACCAGGCCCTCTGGGACCGCTACATGGGCACCCTCCGTGGCTGCCTCCTGCGTCTCTGTCATGACTGAGGCCCCTCCCCCTGCCCTGCCCACATTGACAATAAAGTTGCCGTGACTTCGGAGGAGGCTGTGAGTGGGCACAATTACGGGTCCGCGTGTGGGAGTGTGTGCAGGTTGCACGCGTGTGTCTCTGAGTGTCACAGTGTCTAAGGATGTATGTGTCCGTTGGCCCCGCAGGGACTAGGACATGTCAGAGAATATTATCTATGTACTCCCCATCCATTTCCCCATCCCAGCTGAGTCCACTCCGAAGACAGGGGTCTTGTCTAGGTTTATTCAATCCGTAGCAGAAACACTGGGAGAATAGGCAAAAACCTTGGGGTGGGGTGGGCAGGGAGGTAGCTGGCACAGCAGGAGAGAGCTGAGGGGCAGCCAGGTGGGCTCAGGGAGGGCAGGAGACTTGGTGCTCTTTAATGGGTTTGTCCACTCTGGCAGTGAGCGGGTACTTGGTGATGCCACAGGTATTACTCCCTCGGTGCAGCCGGAAATAGCCCTAGGAAGTTAGGGGACATCAGGGCCAGTCGGCGGGGAGAGGTGTGTCCGGCCCTGTCCTCCCGCCCCCAGTAGATCACACTCACCTCCTCACCCCAGTTGGCCCCCCAGGAGTTCTTCAGGATCCAGTATGGGATGGAGTAGCGAGGATGAGGATGAGGCCGGGATGAGATTGCCTTTGCCTGCCTCCCCTCCACCGACTTGCTTTTACCAAAACCCACCAGCAGGACAGAATGATCCACAAGCCGGGGGTCACAGGTGGTAGGTGTGGCCTTGATCACACCCTTCTGGTATTGCTGCAGGGGCAGAGAGGCTGAGTCGGGGGCCACCTCCCCTATATACCCCTCCCCCCAGTTCCCTACCTTATCCCACCTGCAATAGCTTCATGTTGATGGTCACAGTGATGGGGCCTTGGGTGGCCAGGTACCTGGCGATGCCTGGGGGTGGAATGTGCCGTCAGGCCCTGCCTGTCCTGTGCCCCCTGCTCTCGGCTCATGGGTGTCTCTATCTCTTTCTCTTTCCCACGCCCAACCCCCCGCCCCAAAATCCCTCCATCTCTGTCTGTAGCCCTGTCTGTCCTGGTCTGTCTGTCCCTGTCATTCTCCCCCCTGGGCCCGCCCATGTGTCTCCATCCTGCCCGTACTCTGCTCGCAGGGCTGCAGCATGATGAAATCCCGGATCCAGGCCACCCTCTTGTGCTTCTTAGCCCGGCATCTGTGGGGTTTGCTGTTCCCCTTGAATGGGTAGTCCTTATCACTGGCCAGGCCACCTGGACATGAGCAAGGCCCCGGAGGAGACTCGGCTCAGCTCCGGAACATCCCACCCCCCACCCCCCCGACACACACACACACACACACACACACAGCTGCCCCAAGAGACAGGCACTCACTGTTGTTGAGGACAGTCATGAACGCATCCCAGACGAAACCGCCCTTGCAGCCATTCCCACAGCGGTCACAGTCGAGCAGCTCTGGTGCAAACAGGGACAGTGTGGGTGCCCGGGCCTCAGGCATCCCCGCCTCAGTCACACAGGTCCCCTCCCCCAGCCATACCTTGCACAGAGACTTCCAGAGACTGATGGTATTCGATGGCCCACAGGGCCTCGATGTTGCCCGCTGCTGCCATGGCCCAGCAACAGTTGCAGTTTTGCTAGTGGTAGAAGGATGGGGGTGGGGGTAGGGAATGCAGGCCTTGCCCCTCCCCTCCCCCTCCCGCCACCAGGGCTGGATTGGGCCAGGCCGCATGGGGGCAGATACCTGATTCCTGATGGATGAGATGATGCCAGCCTTCTTCCGCCAGTCACAGGTCGGGGGCACTGACTGCCCCCACTCTTCAGACCCTACCTTTTGGCTCACACTGGGGGCCTCTCCAGCCACGCTCTGATGCCCATAAAGCTGGCCAAACTCCTCCTCTGGGAGACAGATGGGGCCCCCAAGTTTCGCAGTTTTTACCCCCTCTCCCCCACAGTCTGCCTCTCACTTCAGCCATCCACATCCTCAGACATCTGAGTCCCCCTAATACCCTGGGAGACAGAAAGGCAAGTGTACTGAGGCCTAGAGAGAGGCCAGGTTCCTTGCTGGGGTGCACTCCCCTGCACCTGCTGCCTCCCCCTGAGCTGGGTTGCGACCCCGGCTCCGGAGTTCCTGCCCCTGATCTCTGATTTGGGCCAAGCACCCAGGCCTCTGGTCCTCAGAGTCCCTCTGGGAAACAAAAGCCAAAAACCTGCCCTGTCCATCTGCTAGTATCCCTGGAGAAGGTTCTGCTTCCCCACCTACCACCTAGGAGCCAGGAGGGGGTCCCGGTACCTGTGAGGTCACTGAATGGAGTCACCCCAAACTCAGCTGTGCCCAAGTCCTCCTCTTGGAGCTGCTGAGCCTTGGCCAGGTTTCGGGCAAAGATGTCCAGGCGGCGAGCATGCTCTAGACCAAAAGGAGGTTGTCCTAGGCTGGCTTCCAAGCCCCCAGGGGTAGGAAGTGGTCACCGGCTTGGCTTCTCATCCACACTCGCCCAGGTGAGCACTGGCTCTGTTTCCCGTGGTCCTTGCAGGCCCTGCTACAGACACCTGGGCCAAGGAAATGGCTCCCCAGCGCCCCTAGGGTTGGGTTTTCCCAGGAAGCCAGAAGAGGGGTATCTCCGCCCACCTGGGGGAGAAGCCAAGTAAAGGGTCGGAAGGCAGAGTGACTCAAGGGAAAAGTGGATGGTTAGAGACCGGCATCCTGCCTCTCTGTACTTCACATCTCTGACCGCAAGTCTGTGGCTGGAACGAGGCGGGGGAGGGTGGGGTACAGGTCCATGGCACAGGAAGTCTGGGCTGAAAGGTGCTCACAGACCATCCCCCTATGGGAGATGAGATCCAGAGGGCAGGGGCAGGGCTGGCAACTCCTGGGGGTGGAGAGGGAGTCCCCAGCTTGGGGACAAAATGGGTATCCTTGGGTGTTTGCTGAATGAACTCATGACTAGATGGCGGCCTCCTGCCTGCTGCCTGCAGTCACAGGAAAGTGGCTCTGGAGGTGAAGGATCCTCTTGGACCAGTCAGACCCCCAACAGCTGCCGCCTCCCTCCAGGTTCGTAGCCAAGGACGATCCTGTCCCCACTTGTGCATTTGGGAAACCAGGGAGTACACCCCGAGCCCTGTCACTGTCCTGCTGAGTGGCTTTGGCCAAGCACATTCCCCACCCTGTGGCTTGATTTCCTTGTCTCTTAAATGGGAGAAGGGGGGTTGGACCGGAGACATTTGCGCCCCATGATACCTGCTGGGTGTGAATAACTCCGGTTGTACTGGATCTGGAACAACGTGAAGACCTCCTTCAGCTCCAGAGGCTGGGGACCTGGGTCCTGGAAAAACAACCAAGGGCGGTGGGGAGGGGGAGAGGTGAGGAGTCATTGCTGGGACCACACCTCAGCTCCCAGATGTGCCAGGACTGGGTTTGGGGAGCAGCCGGTTCACCCGCTCTTCTCCCTGTGTGGGCCTGGACGCGTCAATCACCTCTCCAGCCTCAGTTGCTCCCTCTGAGAAATAGGAGCAAAGCACTGTTTCTGAGGGGGTGAGCCCCAGGCATGGGGAGCAGGCTGGGGACACTTACCTGGCCCCTGAGGGAGCTCTTGATGCCTTGGGCCAGGCCTGCCACCAACAGGGCCAGGAGATAGGAGAGGTGGACAGTTAGTGACATGATGCCGCAGACCAGAGTGTCAGCGGCAGGAAGCTATGCAGACCAAGGTGGAGGGGCTGAGAGGGTGGAGCTGGAGAAACCACAAAGGGGAAACCAGGCTGCGAGGGGGAGGAGGACCCCCAAGCACAAGAGGCCTTCAGGCTTTTGTCCCTACATGGCCCCCTGCCTTCCTGTACCCCGCTCCACCCCTTTATTCAACAGAGGCTCTCTGCCCATGCTGTTCTGGGCAATTCTAGGGATATGGAGATGGATCTGTCCTTAAGGGGACAGGAGGAGACAGATCCTAAGTGGGCAGTGACAATATAAGGCCATCAGTGCCTTGAGGGGGAAACAGGGGGCTATGGAAGCCACAGGCCCTGATGACTGGGGGGATGGATGGTGGTCAGTGGGCCCCGGGAAGCATTCTTGTTCATCCTATTACAAAGCTCAGTCAGCTCAGAAGTCACCTCCGAGAAGCTCACCCATCCTGTGGTGTAACCGCAGCTCCCTGAGCCCCTGCTGTGCCTGTGCCTACTGGGCATCTGCGTCCCAACCACACCGGAGGTATCTGCCTTGTTTGTGTCCTCAGCACCCAGGAAGGGGCTGGGCACAGAGCTGGCTCAGTGGGGATTTGTTGACTGAGCGATTGGTCATCATGGGTTTTAAATAGAAAAGTTCAGGGTCCAGGGGACAGCAAGTGGCATCTACTACCCCCTTCTGTTCTTCATTCCTATCACAGTCTGGGGATGGAGATGAGGGGTGTGGGTGGGCCTGAGGGGGCAGAAAAATAGCAGGGTTGGCATCTCAGACAGAGTAAGGCCGGAGGCTAAGGGCTGGGCAGGGGTGTTCACACCTGTTACTTCTGCTTTGGTTTTAAGTGGGTCCTTGGGCTAGGGAGCTCCCATATGGGCCTCCAGGCTGGCAACCAGCACCCAATACCAGAGATGGGTGAGAAAAAAACTGGCTTTCTCGGGGTTCCATGGGGATGGGAGCGACGGGAAGGGATCCATCCACTCATGAGCTCACCACCTCTTTTCTTCATTCATTAGGAATCTTCCCAAAGCTGTGAGATCCTGTTTTGCTGCACCCAGCCCCCACCCCCCCACACCCCGGATAGTAAGCCAAGGGACTCCTCTATTTGGAAAAAAGAGTGATGCTGCCTTTATTAAAATACAGTAGACAGACCATCCACAGAGGGGTACCTGGCTTCATGATTCTAGATCCCAGGCATGTGTCCCAAGCTGGTTCTGGCTGTGTGTGACCTATGACTAAAGCCCCATGTCAGCCCTCAGAGCTGGAGGTTCACATAACAGCTTTATTGAGGTATAATTCACATACCATAAAATTCACCATTTTTAAGTATACAATTCAGCGGTTTTTCACGTATTTGCATAATGGTGCAACCATCACCACTGTCTAATATCAGAGCATTTTCATCACCCGAAGAGAAACCCCATACCCATTAGAAGTCATTTCCCCATTCCCCGTGCCCTGGCAAACACTCATCTAGTTTGTCTTTCGGATTTGCCTATTCTGGTTGTGTCATATAAGTAAGAGGAATATGTGGCCTTTTGTGTCTGGCTTCTTTCAACTAGTGTACTATTTTCAAGATTCATCCATGTTGTAGCATATATCAGTACTTCATTCCTTTTTATGGCTGAATAACATTCCACCGTGTTACCATTTTTTGCTTATCCTTTCATCAATTGATGAACATTAGATTGGTTCTATATTTTGGTTCTTATGAATAGTGTTGCTATGAACACTGTACAGATTTCGTGTGTGTGTGTGGATTGTGTTTTCAATCCCCCTGGGTATATACCTAGGAGTGAAATCGCTGGGTCACGTGGTAACATTTCTGAGGACCTGCCAGACTGTTTTCCGCAGTGGCCGCCCCATCTTACATTCCCACCCACAGTGTATGAGTGTTCCAATTTCTCCATCTCCTCGCCAGCACTTGTTACTGTCTGTCTTTTTGGTTTTAAAGAACTATTATTTTTAGGCTCCTTCCCCCCACGTTGGGGGATGGTGCTGGGAAGGATTTGGGGATGGCGAGGTGCTCTCCAGTTCACACCGCACCCGGAAGGCTCACCCCAGGACCCACCGTTAAGTCCTCTCCTCTCCCCGGGCGGGGCGATAGTGAAGATAAACGGGGGTGGGAAAGGGAACCGAGGGCTCGGCAGTTCCCACACGCCGTCTGCCTCCAGGCGGGGGACCCCTAGACACGCAGCCCTTTCCCGTCTGGCCCCGCCCTGAGACGTGGCCAGCGCAAGACCCCAACCCCTTCCTGGGAGCCAGCTCCGCCCAAACTCCTCCCCTTAGGGCTCTCCGTCTGCTTGGGAGAGGATGCAGAAACCCGGGGACTGGGGGCGGGGTGTGTGTGTGGGGTTGGGGGACGCTGGTGGGAGGATGGCCAGGAAGGCGATCGCACCGGACCCTGGCGTCCTGCACGCCCGAGTTCGGCACTGCCCGCCTTCTCAGGGGCTTCCATTCATTCTGGGCCAGAAGTGAACTGCCGCCCCCGCCCCAAACTGAGGTAGCCTCTCGGACTGAGGGCTCGCAGGAGGCCGTTCTGGAGTGAAGGAACCGCCTGGCTGAAGACAGCCCTGGGGATGGAGAGGAGAAGGGACCGAGATGGACAGTTCTGGACCTGGGAGCGTCTCTTCTTAGGGCGAGGGTCTGGCGACCCTGGACGAAGTTCTGGTATTTCCAGAGTGACTGTCCGCGTGCACAGAATAACATTCTGGAGGCTGCAGAGTGAGGATCTGGAAGTCCCAGGATTAGGTGGGGTCTAGGTCCCCAGGATGACATTCTGGGAGGCGCAGAAAGAGTCTGTGGGCCCCGGCCTTAAGTGCACAGGAGCTCTGGGGGCGCAGATTAGGTAGGGTCTAGGTTCGCAGGATGACATTTTGGGGTGCGCAAAGTGAAAGCGTGGGGGCTCCTAAGTGAGTCGGGGGTCTGGCGTCAGGGCCAATGCCCCCAGGATCGGGCGCTAGGGGACCCTGGCCTGGCGCCGGGAGGCGTCTCCGGGAGGCGCCGCGGGGGACCGGGTGGGGGCCTGCGGCCGGCTGGGGGCGGAGAAGTGGGGGGTCGGGGTCCCTCCCCCTGGCGCGGGCTCAGGAATCCGCTGAGGGGCGGGCGGAGGCGCCGGGGTGGGCCGCGCCGCGGCGGGCGGGCGGGCGGGGGGCGCTTCCTGGGGCCGCGCGTCCAGGGAGCTGCGCCGTCCGCCTGTCCGTCTGCCGCAGGCACTTGCCGAAGCCAGACGAGCCGCCGGAGCCGCGGGCCGCGGGGCCGTCGCGGGCCCAAGTGAGTGGCCGTCCATGGGGGGAGGGCGCGAGCCAGAGTCTCGGCCGAGTCGCGTCAGCAAGGAGCCGAGAGGCCCGTGCTCCTCGGCCGGAGCCGCTGGGGGACCGGGCGGGGGCGGGGCGGCCCCGGGCGAGTGGGCCCTGAACCCCGGCCTGCGTGAGGAGTCGGCCCTCGGCCCTGGGAGGCTCCGGGGCCCCAAGCACGGTTCCGGGCGGGAGGCGACCGGGGCCACGGCTCTGAGTGCTGGTATCGGGAATGCGGGCTGCTGCGGCAGAGGCGCCCTGACCCCCGCCCGCCATCCCCCAGCCCCAGGATGCTCCCCTTCGCCTCCTGCCTCCCCGCGTCTCTACTGCTCTGGGCGCTGCTGCTGTTGCTGTTGGGGGCAGCGTCTCCCCAGGATTCCGAGGAGCCCGACAGCTACACGGTGGGGACAGTGAGGTCACTGGCCTGGGCTGGGCTGGGCAGGGACACAGAGACCAGGATCCTGGGGTGGCTGCTGCTGGGGAAGATTCTCCCCTCCCCTGGTTGGTGGAGCAGCTGGGGCCATTGTTTGGAGCAGGCGGGGAGGGTGGCCAGGCTTGGGCCCTGGTCTTGGCCTGGTCAGCTAGAGGGGGCCAGGGGTGACCACTGGCCACCTCTGGTCCCCTTGTAGGAATGCACAGACGGCTATGAGTGGGACCCTGACAGCCAGCACTGCCGGGGTGAGGATGCTTGGGGGACTGACCCACCCCCGAGAACCGGGAAGGGGATTGCAACCCCACTTCCAAGAGCTGCTCTGTCTCCTGCCCAGCTCTGCCTGGCCGTGGCCAGCTCTGGTTCTCAGGCGGCCAGCTCGGCTAGGGGTGGAGAAAGCATCCAGGCCCCTCCCTCTCAGAGAAACCCAGGACACCCTGCCCGCCCCCCTCCCCACCCCCTCAGGAGTCTAGAGAGCAACAGGGCGCTGTCCTGGATGCCTCCTCTAATCACTGTCCTATCCAGCTTTGTCCCATCACGGCTCCAGGAGAGCAGTGCCTGCGGGGGTGGGTAAGGAGGCCTGCACATCCCTGTTAGGCTGAGTCAGGGCCAGGGCTTTGGGGAGGGACAGAGACCCTCTTGGGGGCAAGAAAATGGGGGTGACTATAGGAACAACTGCTCCACCCAGGGGTCCTGGGCAGGCAGCCTTAGCTTCTTGAGTAGAGAGGGAAGGCCCTGCCCAGGTCACTCAGCTTAGAGAAGGCTGAGATGGGCTCCTGCCTCCCACCCCCACCACGGCCGGCCCAGGAGACTGGCTGTGCCCAGCAGGCCCCTCTCCGCAGATGTCAATGAGTGCCTGACCATCCCAGAGGCCTGCAAGGGGGAAATGAAATGTATCAACCACTATGGGGGCTACTTGTGCCTGCCCCGCTCTGCTGCTGTCATCAGTGACCTGCATGGCGAGGGACCACCACCACCAGTGCCCCCTGCTGAGCACCCCAACCCCTGCCTCCCGGGCTATGAGCCCGATGAGCAAGAGAGCTGCACGGGTGAGTAAGGGTCACCCTGGCACTGAGGCTTCCAACCCTTCCAGCCACTAGGATAACATTCAGACCCTTGTCCAGACCCTCACTTTGCGTGGGGCCTGCCGCAGGGGGCCCCAGCTCCTGTTACACTGCCCAGCCAGCCTCTGGGACCCTCGCCTTGACTGCTGCAGACGTACTGCAAGAGCTCTGCCTCTCAGCCTCTGCCCCTGCCCCTTCCTGGTCTGCACCCCACCCCTGGGTGCTTCGGGCCTTGG